CTAATTGTTTAGCTTGTTCACCCATCTATCCGTCCCTATACCCATGTTTGCTTTCACTGACAACTCAGTACTGTATATGCAAAAGGGTTCATATTTCTTGTCTGTACTGCCAGAATATTCTTCAAAAGTGGATCATAGAAACGAAGAAGGGGAGGCTCAGAGAAGTTAAGAGATAGAATGCAGTCTGAGAGGGATCAAGAAGCAAGCCAAGGCTATCAAAAATGGCAGAGGTATGAAATCGGTTTGCCCCAATCCATTGCCATTGTGCTAGCCTTCTTAGAATGTCTACAACATGTATGCCCAGGTCAGCCAGCTGCCTGGTTTGGCTAGAGGCTGGGACCCCCACACTGCTGCTTCTAACAAAGAGGATACATTCTGTGATTAATGACTTTACTTCCAGAAGAAAAAAAAAAATCATACAGGACACAATGAGGTACATTGTGGCAATTCTAGAGAGGTAATTACAAATTAAGAATGCAGGTTCTAGAGCCAGATTTTCTGAGTTCAAACCCTGGCCTGGCTCTTTATCTCACGGTGTGACTTTGGGTGGACTCCATGCCTGTTTCCTCATCAGTAAAATGGGCAATGATGTTAGCATCAGCATCATAGGGCATTTGTAAGGATTGTTGTTGTTGCTTGCCGTCGAGTCGGACCCGACTCATAGAGACCCCTCCTTGGGTTTCCGAGGCAGTATCACTATGGAAGTAGAGTGCCCCAGCTTCCTTCCGAGGAGTGGCTCGTGGGTTTGAACCGCCAGCTTTCTGGTTAGCAGTCAAGTGCCTTAGGCACTATGCTACCAGAGCTCCCTTGTAAGGATTACATGAATTATTTCATGTACAGCACTCAGAAACAGTGCCTGGCACATAGGGATCACTTAGCAAATGTTGATTATGCATAAAAAAGAAATAGTATTAAAGGATGAGTAAGACACAGTTCTGCAAATAAGAACTTCCAGTCAAATGAGAGGTCAGAGGCTTGGGGATCAGAGGGCAGGCAGTAACTCAGTCTGAATGTGGAGGGGGCAGCGAGGGCTTCCGGAAGAGGGAATTCCAACCAGAAGCATACCTAAAGTATGGCAGACATGGCATTTTCCCCAAGCACCACCTGAAGGGGGCGCCACTGAACAGTTTCTATTAACCCAGTAAGGCCCAACATCCTTCCTCAAGCACAGCAGACACAGAGGTGTGGGGTGGGGGAAGACTGAGGGGAGCATTTGGCTCCAGGTGCAAGTCCAAGTGGATAGCAGACGAGGCACAGAATGACACACGGAGCACCACAAATATGAAAGGTGCCTGATTGAGGCAGTCGGCCAAAAGGAGGAAACAGGTTTCTGCTCAGACGTCACCACTGACCGTCTATTCATCTTGAAATGGGAGGAGGTCGCAATTTAGGGATTGTCCCTGGGCGCTCGTCACCCTTACCTCGTTATGCCCCTGTTGTTGTTGTTGTTGTTATGTGCCGTCCAGTCGGACCCAACTCATAGCGACCCTTTCTTGGATTTCTGAGGCCGTAACATTACGAAAGTAGATTGCCCAACCTTCTTTCTGAGGAATGGCTGGTGGGTTTGAACCGCCAGTCTTCTGGTTAGCAATCAAGTGCTTTAGGCACTGTGCTACCGGAGCTCCCGATATGCCCCTGTGGGAGCGCAATTTCAGTGCTTGTTGTAGGCGCTATTTTGCCATAGATACGCCTCTGATTCCAAGAATGGTGAAAACAGCAAAGAACCAGGCAATGTTTTGTTCTGTTTTACGTGGGGTCGCCATGAGTTGGAGCCAACTCCACGACAACCAGCAATAGGAATTAGCCAGGTGGGCTGGCAGAAAGCAAAGATCTTTCAGGCTGAGGCACTGGCTTGAGTGGAGACCCAGACACCCAAGAACCTTAGACGAGAGCCAAGATAAGGAGTCTTGGGGGGAGGGGAGGAGAATAGGAAGAGGAAGGAAGGCAGCCTGGAGAGATGACACCCACTGTTTCCAGAGAGAAGACCTCTCCAGTGAGAGGGACATGTGTCCCACCGGATAGGAGCAGGAAGTCTCCCCTCTGAGGCAGGGAGCTGATGTCAGACTTCTCCTCTGGGTGGCCCAACAGCCACCGGTGATTCCTTGGCCCTGAGACTTCCAGCCAGCTGGAGATCTCATTCCACAAGCTTCCGGGCTGCTCTTTTTCCACTGTTAATAAAAGATGTGTTCAGGTGACATCAGAGTGAGGATGAGTTTCTGTTAGAGTGACAGCTGGCTGTTGAGAGAACCTGGCCCTGAGGAAGCAGGAGAAAGGACTCAGAAGGAGGAGTCTGGGAGGGAGGAGAGCCCACAGCATGGAGCTGTGCAGTACAAACTGCAGCCACTAGCCACAAGCAACTCTTTAAATGTAAATAAATTAAAATAACTAAGGCACCTGGCTGCTGACCAGAAAGCTGGTGGTTCAAACCCACAAACCACTCCTCAGAAGGAAGGTTGGGCAATCTACTTCCATAGTGATGTTGTTGTTGTTGTTATGTGCCGTCGAGTAGGACCTGACTCATAGCGACCCTTGCTTGGGTTTCTGAGGCAGTATCACTTTGGAAGTAGGTTGCCCTATCTTCCTTCCGAGGAGTGGCTGGTGGGTTTGAACCGCCAGCCTTCTGGTTAGCAGTCAAGTACCCATAGTGATACCACCTGGGAAACTCAAGGAGGGGTCGCTATGAGTCAGGTTGGACTTGATGGCACATAACAACAACAACATCATTACAAGTTGGGCCCTGGGTTGGTCATTGGGAGTCTTAGATTAGCTAAGACAGACACTCTTCCTGCTCTCATCATTGTGGAAATCATTACAAGTGTGAGTGAGCTACACACAAAGAGGGTCTGGGTGCTTAAAGAACATGGAGAGATCTGAACTTGTTGAGGTGAGGGTCATAGAAACCTGCTTCCAGGAAGGGATGACTGTGTTGGGTTGTGAGGGAGACATAGAGCCACCAGATGAGGTGGGCAAGGAATGAAAAGGACTGGCAGACGATGGGAGGGTTTGGGTGCTATTAGGCAGTCTTCTGTCTCTCCCCAAAAGCCCTGCTCTGTGATGGTAGACAGCAGGGCCTCATGAACAGTCACAATCACCTGTTCCTTGGATCCAACAGTGTCTGCCTGAGTGCTGTGCTTACGCTAAGGATAGAGCAGGGACCAACAGTGGAGCGGGGGTGGGGGGGTGGGGGGTGGCTATGAATCTCCTTCACATGTCAAGCCCCTAGGCGCTAAGGAGGAGAAGGAGGAGGAAGGGACTCCCATTACCCTCAGAAGGAGCTGAGCCTTTGGACATCCTGGGCCCTGGTCGGGGGGAGAGGCCCTGGTTGACCAATCTGCTCACCTGAGCTCTGTCAGCTTCTTTGCCATAGGCCACGGCTTATTTCTCATGGTGGCAATGAGCTTCTTCTTTTCTTCCACTTGTTCCAGGATCCAGGCCAGTTCCTCCTCAGACAGAGACTCCGCACCAGAGGCACTGGAGGCCAAGGAGGATGACCTGGAAGTAGGGCCAGGGAAGGTGAAGAAGAAAATTGAGAAGGAGGCAGGAGTCCCTGGGTGGAGCAAAATGTTACCACACTCTGAAGCTAACCAAAAGCCGAAAGTTTGAGGTTACTGAGAGGTGAATCAGAATAAAGGCCTGGCAATCTATTAAAAAAAAAATCACTGGTTGAAAGCCCTGTGGATCACAGTTCTACTTTGACATGCATGGTGTTGCTATGAGTTGGAGTTGACTCCAAGGCAATTGGTTGTTTTGGCCCTCAAATATTCTGAGGATCGAGGGAGCATGAAGGCAAGACAGAGAGGCTGTGCTCACCAATGCTTACAGCTCTGCCTGTGACCTGCCCTTGCTCAGAGACCATCAGTGATTCCCACTGTCTCCAGGAGAAGCTAAAACTCTGGTCTGTAGCCTGAGCAACACGGAGTGCTGCCTCTCCAACATCCCAGACACCACACTCTAGCACCAACCAAAAAAAAAAAGAAACAAAAAACAAATTCCCTGCCATCAAGTCACTTCCGATTCATAGCAACCCCTCCTTCGGTTTCTGAGGCGGTATCACTACAGAAGTAGACTGCCCAGTCTTCCTTCCAAGGAGTGGCTGATGGGTTTAAACCACCAGCCTTCTAGTTAACAACAAAATGCCTTAGGCACTACACTATCAGAGCTCCTACACAGTGCTGTCCAATAGAAATATAATGCAAACTACTTATTATGATTTTAAATTTTCCAGTAGCCCACTAAAATAATAAAAATAGATAAAATTAATTTTAGTAATACATTTGAGTTAGTCCAATATATAAAAAATATTACAAATTTCAACATATACTCAATATAAAATTATTAATGAGATGTCTTGTACTTTTTTTGTATTGTATTTAAGATCTAGTTTCTGTTTTGCAGTCATAGTGCATCTTAATTCAGATGTTAAGTTTTCATCAGACATACTTGATCTCTACTTAGATTTCATAAAATTTATGAAACTTGTAAGGGCTGGGACTCAGTGGGACTGCCTTGGTTTTCCAGGCCCTACGTGTTTTCCACCCTTGACAGGGTATGTTGTTGTTGTTATGTGCCGTCGAGTCGGACCCGACTCATAGCAACCCCTCTTTGGGTTTCTGAGGCAGTATCACTGCAGAAGTAGATTGCCCAACCTTCCTTCTGAAGAGTGGCTGATGGGTTTGAACTGCCAGCCTCTGGTTAGTAGTCAAGTGCCTTAAGCACTATGCTACCAGAGCTCCCTGACAGGGTATATATAGTCTTACCATTTTTCTAAGGCTCTTTATTAGAAGAAAATATTTGAGTTTTTCTTCTCTGCAGGTTTCTACATAGTTTCTGGCTTTAGTGGGTTTTACTGTAGTCTCTAGTTAAAAATGTAGATTCACATGCCCAAATTGTTTGAAACATACTTAAACATTTTCCAGTAACTGGATAAAATATAAAAATATCATTTTCCTTTGGTATTTGCTTCTGCATTGGCAAAACTAGTTTGTCTTATTCTTTTTTTTTTTTTTTTTAGAAGAAACGCTTTTGCTTCAAAGTCATCAAATCAGTCTCAAAAATGACATCTGTCCATGTTAAGTAAATATACTAACCCTTGTGCCAACTCGGTAGTTTTAACATCAAATTAAAATTTAATGAAATAAAAAGTTCAGTTCCTTGGTCATACTAGCCACATTTCAAGTGCTCCACAGCCACATGTGGGTAATGGCTATTGTACTAGACAGTGAAACTCTAGAAAACTGCCAGCTAGAAGCCCCCTGTGTGATGACCCTCATATTTCACAGACACTGTGTGATCAACTGCCACAAAATCCAAGTGACTGTGTGTGTGTCATAGCCTCCAAGCTGTTCTAAGTCCTTCACTGATAAAAACAGTGACTGCAGTCTCTCGGCTTAGGGACATTGGTGGGATAGTGACAGAACTCTTGCCTTCCATGCTGGGGACCTGAGTTTGGTTACCAGCCAATGCACCTTAGGAGCAGCCACCACTCCCTGTCAGTGGAGACTTGTGTGTTGCTATGGTGAATGGGCTTCATTGTTCAGGCGTCAATGAAGCTTCCAGACAAGGATGGGTTAAGAAGGAAAGTCTAAAGATCTACTTCCAGAAATCAGCCAATGAAAATCCTGTAGATCACAACGGTCTGACCTGCAACTGATCGTGCTACAGGACGAGGTGGAGTTTTCTTCTGTTGTGCTTGGGGTCACCATGAATCGAGAGCCCACTCAAAGGCAGCTACCACCACCAGTCTCTTAGCTCAGCTAGAAGGAGGCCAATGGGGTGAGTGAAAGGGGGAACAGAGAAGCGCAATGCCTGGGAAGCCTTTGAGAAATTTCATAAAACATCTGTAAAAGTTTCATAAATGGGGGATCAGGATGTGGACATGGGTTACTTCAGATTTTAGACGCCAGTTTGCAGCAGAAGCAGCCTCAGAGTTTTAGCTTCAGATAAACTCCTGAGAAGCCAAAGAGAGACCTTAGGATTGACGTTAGGGGGGAGGTAGTTCCAACCTTTGAACTTTGGAAAACCTAGAACACAGTGATTTTTTTTTTTTCCATACTCATGCACATTCCATGACACCTGCATTTTAGTCCTTGCAAGGATGTCTCCTCAGTCTGGGGAACATTCACTCCATGAAGGAACTCTGATGCCTCTACATCCCACTAATATGGTGCTCCATCAATTCCTGTCTTGTGCAGGCATTGCTCTCTACCTTGTCTTACGATTACTGATGCTCATGTCTTATCTACCCTAGACTGTCAGCACCTGGGGAACAAGGGCTGAGTCTTTTTTCCACCCTCCCTATGCCCTGCCTTGGCACTCAGTACATACTTTCTGAAAATGGCATGAATGGGTCCTTTTCTGTACCCCTTACTTTCCATCTGCCATCCAGACACCTGTGATCCATTTAGGATGGTGAAGCCTCTTTCTGAAGTTCAGGATACCCCAGGTCCATCAAGAAAGCACTCAAGTTCTCTTCAAGTTGTTAAGTACACTACTCATCATTTACCCTTTTAGCTCATGTCCAAGAACAAGCAGGCAGTAAAAGCAACAACAACAAAAAAAAAACACCTAACTTGAGCCAGGGATGAGTGGCAGAGAGACAAAAGAAGTCAGTGGCTCCTTTTGAAGGTATAGGTTATCTCTCTGTAAAGATGGAGAGGTATGATGGTACACCTGACTACCTCTCCGATAAGGGGCACACCTGACTATAGGCATGGGCACAGATGATCTGGTTTGTTAGAATCCAGTGGGAAGGAGTACTGACTCTTCACCATAATCCTGATTATTTCCAACTGTTTCAAAAGCTTCCCCATTCACTATTACAGGGGATTCTTGCAACATTTTAAGAAGTTAGTAGGACATACATTATTCCCAATGAGTGGAAAATGGAGGCAAAGGGAAATGTCACATCAAGATTGGTAGCTTGCTGATTCCAAATTTCAGATTCCCTAAGCTGGTTCTATCCACTAAATCAAGTGTGCTAGTGGCAATGGAACAAAGGAGATAAATCAACAACTGAGACACCATCTATTGAACCCCAGTATCAAAGTCAAACATAGGCCTCTCTTGCAAAGCAAAAATTTCTAGAATGTCAGAGCTGGCAGCACCTTTGAAGATCTTCTAGGTCAATACCACATTTCATAGAAAAGGAAGATTTAGCTCAGAAAGATGGTATGCTTAAGCCCTCTGAGAAGTCCCAAATTCAATTGTGTTCCTGTCTCCCAGTCCTCTTCTTCAAGAGCTGTGGTGAGTCACCAGCTGAAATTCATGGAGACTTGGGTCCTTGTCCTCCACTCACTTCCACTGCCATGTCACATCCCCATTCAGAACTTCCATCTGCACCACATAACCTTAAACACTGGAGTCCAGATTACCCAGTGGCCACTCCAACTGTAATGGCTTCTTGTTCTCATTCTGGTTCTGCCTTAAAGCACTGGACAGTGACAAAGGCAGAGGAAAAATTGAAGCCAGACAGAAGCAGGGGCCTCTTATTCACAATAGAGTGGACAGCAAGGGAGGGATAAGGGCCCTGAAGGAGAGGGAGTAAGCAGAGTGGAAACACCCCTGACTCAGTCACACACCTGTGTTTCTTTAGGCGCTTCCATATCTCCTCCTTCTCTGGGAGCTCCTTTTCCTTCTGTGGGGGTACTCTCTGCTCCTTGAAGGAAGCCTTGCCATCTCTCTTCCTCCTCCCCTCGCAGGTCCTCTCTGCTGGGCTCTGGTTCTTTTCTCTCAACTCCTCTTGGCGTCTCCTTTGCCCTGTCTGTTTCCTCCTGGGAGACCCAGGCCTTGGGCTGCCCCTTGAGCTGCCCCTGGCCTGCTCTTTCCAGTTGCGCTGGGCTCCATGGTTGCCTGATGTACTCACGGCCTTGGGAGCCCGCTTCTTTGAGGGTTTCCTGTCTGATCTGTCACCTGCAGGGGCAGGAAATGGACGATTCAGGTCTCACCCACCTCAACCCCAGTGAAGGGCCTCAGCTTTGAGAAATTAAAAGTCCTGGCTCTTCTGGAATCTGCTATTCAGGAATGAGAAAGAATATCTCCTTCCTCTGGCCTCTAGCACCCCAACACTCTTAACTTGGGTTGAGGTTCAACCAAGGCATGTGCCTTTCCTCTTGGGCTGAATTTGCTGCTCCTTGGGGTCAGAGCTTGGCCATCTGTTAAAGATTAAATTTTGTACTCCAAAATATATGTTAAGGAGTCCTGGTGGTGCAACAGTTAAGCACTCAGGCTGCTAACTGAAAGATTGGTGGTTGAAACTCACCCGGAAACTCGACGGCAGAAAGGTGTGGCAATCTGCTCCCATAAAGATTTCAGCCCAGAAAACCCTATAGCACAGATCTGCTCTGTCACATGGAGTCGATATATGTTGAAAATGGACTCAATGGCACCTAACAACAACAGTACACTACTGTGAAACCTGTGAGAGCCGGAACTCAAAAGAACTGCCTTGTTTTTCCTGGGTGATGGAATCCTAACCTCTATTCCTGAAGATACAATCCTGTCTGGAAATAAGGTCTTTGTTATGCTAAACAAACAAACAAACAAAAAAACTCACTGACATCGAGTGGAATCCAACTCATAGTCACCCCTCCATGGGTTTCTGAGGTGGTATCTTTACGGAAGTAGATTGTCCAGTCTTCCTTCCGAGGAGTGGCTGGTGGGTTTGAACTGCCAGCCTTTAGGTTAGAGTCAAATGTCTTGGACACTACACTACCAGAGCTCCCTTTGTTATGCTACTGTGGCTCTATTAGTGTAGGCTGTGTCCTAAACCTAATAACTTCTGAATCATAAGGAGAAGGATAGACACAGAGATGAGCAAGCACAAAATAGAGGAAGACAGACACTATCTGATAGAGGCAGATGAATCTAATAGCCAAAGCCCAGGAACTCCAAGGAGTGAGGTGAAGCTGAAAGCAAGGATCTTAACCAGAACCAACAGAGAGAGCTTCTCCTAAAGCCTGTGCCCCAAATTCAGACTTAATCTTCTGCACTGTGAGAAAATAAATTTGTTCTTTAAAGACACCTCTTGTGGCATTTCTGTTACTGCAGCACTGGGGAAATAAGATACCATCTCTTGAGTCCCAGTATCAAAGTCAAACATCGGCCTCTCTTCCATCAGCCTAGACCACTGAGGCAGGAAGGCCTTGCTTAGGCACCATTCTCCAGGGGTTGCCCCTGCTGTCCACAGGCACGGCACGAAAGAGGTGATAGTGGGTGAAAGTGGCTGACCCAGTTCAGGTCCTGTTCCTCAGCACTACCTAAGTGGGTTTTTTTTTTTTTTTTTTGCCTTTCCCTTCACCCAAGTTTATGTGTCTACCCTCTCATTTAGAGTGGTTTACCTTCCCTTCCCAACCCACCCCTGTAACCATCAAAGAATATGTCTTTTGTGTGTGTGTGTGAAACTCTTCTTGACTTTTATGAGTGGCCTTATACAATATTTGTCCTTTGGTGACTGACTAATTTCACTCAACAAAATGTCCTCTAAGTTTATCCATGTTATGAGATATTACGCAGATTCATCCTTGTTCTTTAATGTTGTGTAGTATTCCATTGTGTGTATGTACCATGGTTTGTTAATCCGTTCCTTCACTGATGAGCATTTAGGTTGTTTCATTTATTTGCTACTATGAATAGTGCTGTGATGAACATGGGTGTGCATATATCTGATTATGTCATGTCTCTTATTTCTCTAGGATATATACGTAGTAGTGGGATTGCTGAATCTTATGGTATTTTTATTTCCAGCTTTTTAAGGAAGAGCCATACTGTTTTCTATAGTGGTTGCACCATTTGATAGTGTGAAGTGGTTTTGGTTTTTTAACAGTGACTTGACCACTGGCAAATCTTCTGATTGAGCAGAATCTGCTCAACAGTATGCACTTTCCCCAACATCTAGTTAAAGTACAAGTATCTAAGTAGCATTTACAAACCAAATACAGGTAAAATATAATGAGGTTCTGGTGTTGATAATCACTCTTTCCACCACTTACTAGTTGAACGACTTTGAGCAAGTTGTTTAACCTCTCTGAGTCTCGTATCATCTATAACATGGGGATGATAGTACTTACCCCATTCAGCATTAGTGAACACATCACAGTGACTGATATCCTCAGATGTACTTTAACGTCAGTACTCTGTCAATTTTAGCCAGACATGTGATTTTCCTTTTATTTGTGGAAAGAATACAAGTTTGGAGTTAGATTGATCTGCACAAAATTTTTTGTTCTATCTATTCTTGTCTCTGTGGCCACAGATGAATTACTTCTCTGCACTTCAGTTCCCTCATCTGTAAAATGGCTCTAAATAGCCCCTATTTTCCTGCATGGTTGGGAGGGTTAATTAAAAACAGGAAAAAGGGATCTGGTCATGGAGTTACTCAAAAAAGTACTTACTCAAAAAAGACACTTGTGTATGTCTCCAACGTGTCTTGCTACCCTGTGTTCTGTGCAGGTCAGAATCAGAGTGCTTATGACAGTGGAACCAGAACTGGCTGTGACAGCATTTGTTCTCACCATCCCAGTTCAGCCTTTTCTGCCATGACCGGAAGATTCCCTCAATGACATTGCTGGAGTGCAGACCTTGGGCAAAGCCTCTATCTTACCCCTGCCCAGCTGTGCAATGTAGCCATCACGGGAAGCTTTTCTACAGTTTCTCTGACCCTTAAGTTTTTACTTCTTTGTTTAAAAGTGACCACATCTGGTTGATGATAGGTAAGGCTGGATTTGGACAGACTCCCAAACATATGGAGTCTGGATGTTTGGGCCTGGTCCTGGATCTGCTGATTATTACCTGAGGGACCCTGGGCAGGTAACTTGCTATTTCTGAGTTAGGTGCTTCTTGGGTACTCGAGAGTATGGCTGTTGGTGGTCTACCTAGATTCCTTTTATCTGACTCATCCATCCTCTAGCTGCTCTAAGTAAGCTGCTAAAAGCTCACACATGCTCCTTTCTCTAGAAATCTGACCTTGGTTGATGAAAGCCATCTTTCTGGGAGTTAACAACCATTTCCTCTCTTCTAGTCAGCCCCTAGCCAATTACTAATGATAGACATAGATGAGAGATAGATAGACGGAGATAGATAACCAGTTGTCGTCAAGTCTATTTGGATGCAGTAGAATTGTGCTTGATAGGATTTTCCATAGCTGTGATCTTTCAGAAGCAGATCAGCAGGCCTTTCTTCTGAGACATCCCTGGGTGTATCTGATTCACAGCTGAACGTTTAATCATGGTGCCAGCCATTCTGTGAGCTCTTGGTAACTGATATCCAAACCAAATCCATTTGTCAAGTCGATTGCAACTCTCAGCAACCGTATATACAACAGAACACAATAGCCTGGTCCTGCATGATCTTCACAATTTCTATATGCTTAAGTCCATTGTTGCAGCCACTTTGTCAATCCATCTTATTGAGGATCTTCCCCTTTCTTGCTGACCCTCTACTTTAACAAACATGATAACCTTCTGCAGGGACTGGTCCCTCTTGTAAACATGACCAAAATATAAGAGACAAACTCTTACCATCCTCACTTCTAAGGAGCATTCTAGCTGTACTTCTCCAAAGACAGATTTGCTCATTCTTCTGGCGGTCCAGGATATATTCAATATTATTTGCCAACACCATAATTCAAATGCATCAATTCTTCTTAGCCTTCCTTATTCATTGTTCAGCTTTCACATGTATATGAGGTAACTGAAAACACCAGAGCTTGAGTCAGGTGCACCTGTCTTCAAAGTGACATCTTTGCTCCTTAACACCTTAAGGAGAGGTCTTTTGTGGCACATTTGGCCAGTGCAATACAATGTCTGATTCCTTGACTGCTGCTTCCATGGTTGTTGATTGTGGATTCAAGTAAAATGAAATCCTTGACAACTTCAATCTTTTCTCCATTTATTGTGATATCGCTTATTGGTCTAGTTGTAAGAATTTTTGTGTTCTTTATGTTGAGGTGTAATCCATACTGAAGGCTGTAGTCATTGATCTTTACCAGTAAGTGCTTCAAGTTGTCTTCAGATTCAGCAAGCAAGATTGGGTCATCTGCATATTTCAGGTCATTAATGAATCTTCCTCCAATTCTAGTGCCACATTCTTCTTCATACAGTCCAGTTTCTTGTATTATTTACTCATCATACAGGGTGAATAAGTATAGTGAAGGGATACAACATAAATGCACACCTTTCTTGATTTTAAACCACACGTATCCCCTCGTTCTGTTTGAATGACTGCCTCTTAGTCTGTGTACAGGTTCTGCATAAGCACAATTAAGTGTTCTAGAATACCCATTTTTTGCAATGTTAACAATAATTTGTTATGATCCACACAGCCAATTGCCTTTGCATAGTCAATAAAACATAGATAAACATATTTCTGGGATTCTCTGCTTTCAGCCAAGATCCATAAGACATCAGCAATGATATCCCTTGTTCTACATCCTGTTCTGAATCTGGCTTGAATTGCTGGCAGTTCTCTGTTGATTTATTGCTGCAAGTGTTTTTGAATTAGCAAAATTTTACTTGCATGTGATATTAATGATATTGTTCAATAATTTCCACATTTTGTTGGATGACTTTTCTTTGGAATGGGCACAAAATGCTCCAGAAATGCCTTGCAGGGAAGTCTTCTCCCATAGTCAGCACTCTACCTACCTCCCTATGCACCACTTAGCTCAGGCCTCTGTAAACAAAAGGACAGATCTCCCTAGGGGTCAGTTTGAATCTGTCTGCCACCCCTTCTGGTTGGTGCTGAGGACTGCTGACTGAGGCTGCTGTGTACTAGGAAGCAGGCATCTTCAGTGGAAGCACATCCACAGCCAACATACTACAGAGGTGGGACTCTGATATCAACAAGGCAGAACTCAGTGGAGATCTGATTGGAGAATGACACCTCCTTCCCCTACCAGGTGGCTGC